CTTCCTTCCTTCCTTCCTTAATAATTTTTCTTTCTTCTTCAATTTTCGTTGTAAATGTCCATGACGTTTTGATTTGGTTCCTATGTCCATCCAATATATGTAATTGTGCTTTTATTTCTACTCATTAAAATGTGATCTGGGTATGTTTGTGTCAATATCTATTTTCCAGAAAAATTAAAAAGTTAACTATGTTGGGACATATAATTAAAATTATCTATGAAACTGGTAAAGGTCACAGAAATACAGTAGTAGTAAACCAGTCATTACCAACTGAAGAGCAGTTCACGTAGAATACTCAGTCTATAGATGGTTAGAAATCTCAGGAAACTGTGTTATACTCACACCAGTGGCCTGATTTATCCATCTGAGGATAGAACTTATCAGTCATCTCTCAATTTGATTAAAATGTAAAATGATAGAGATTTATTTCACCAACCATGAACAAGACACTTTGGAGGGAAAAATGATAAAATGTGTTTTCTGCTTTCCGGGATCTTTAAATCTAGCTGTAGAAAAATACATCGGGCATGTAAATGCAAGGTAATAAAGCACAATGCACAGAACAGTCCGATGTAAAAGTCAAAAGTAAACAAAGGCACCACAAGGGAATCAGGAATCAGATGGCGGGTTTGAAATGCTTTCTCAGAGGCACAATGTTCTCTGTGATGTATGTGAGTAACAGGCATTTGTAAAGGAGATGTTCCTATCGAAAGATCTTGCTCGCACGCCCCGGCCGGGGAAGCACCGCTTAGCCAGCGTGCGGCCGCCAGGAGGCCCGCTGCGCCCGAGGGCCGCGTGAAGCACCTGGTGCCCGGTGGGTGGTTTCCATCCCCGCCCTCCCTGCTCGGGGCAGCCCGAGGGCAGCACGGCCCCCACGCCGGTGACCCTCTGCCCGGGCCCCTTCTGAGCCGGGGCTCCTTCGGCCCGTGTTCCCACCTGCCTGTTCCTGCCTGTTCTTTGTCTTTTAAAAACTCATCACCAGTTCTGGCGTGTGATGGGCAGCTCAGCATCACCAAGACCCAAATTTATGTGTTTTCTTAACACCGAAGTACCTTTTGTAGTTTATGAAATTCTGACTGGTTCTGTGAAAGTGCAATGGAGAAAACCTATGGTTGTGTTGGCATTTTCATGTGGAACTTTTAAATGAAAAAATTAATAATAGTAACAGTCAATATTACATAACATCAATAACATGGCCTAATATATTTTCATTCACATTACTAATATTTAATAGCATGTAATTAATGATATTAGTATATGATATGATACTTATATCATGTAAATTCATATCTAAATATAATTTGTTTTATAAAAAATATAAATGTTTTATTTACTACGTAATAATATTTAATTGATACTAGTATGTCTTGGTACTTAAAATGTAATTTGTATATTTAATGATGTTATTAACATATGTAATATAGCATTTAATATACAACCAGATACATATGCACATGTAATAATGAGAATGTAATCAATTCTTCAAAATGGTAAGTTCAGCTATATCCTTAGTGACTTTTTGAAATAACAAAAAAAGGCATGTTCTCAAAGCTATCATTGGAAGAGTAAATCCTATTCAAATTTGTAGTTTCTTTTGTATCACTTCAACTAATTAAGTTTTACCTTCTCAGTGCTTGCTATTTGGTGGGGGGCACAGGATCTTTACTTGGAAAGTTACAAGTTGGCTAATATAGTAGCACTTTAGATAAATGACTGGAATATTTATATTCTTCAGAGTAATCTTTCAGTAGTTTCCAGGCTGACAGATCTGTCAGTCAAAATATTTATTTTATTGATACTGCATCAGGTCTTTGACTATTTTTCTCAGCACTTATAAAGTCTATTTCCATTCACATTCATTATTCATTAAGTGTAGTTTCTGAATTTTTGGTGTTTGGGGTCGGACAGCAGGAAACTGGGATATGGTCGATGTAAGGTGTCACTGCCACCGGAGCTCTCCACGGTCTTTGACCACTAGAGATTAGTCCAGTTTTTAAATGAGGCATTTGTAGTTTTTCTCTGTTTTTGTGCACTTTGGTGCTTAATCATCCCTTTCATATACAATTGATATCTTCTGACAAGCACACTATACTTCCATTTATTGTAGCTCTGAGTGATATATAAAATGTGTTTTATACCATATAACCTTGAAATTGCCAAATATCAAACTTGTATTTTAATCACCTTTCACTCTGATTAGCATTTGAACTATGCTATTTAAGTATTAAGTGACAACAAAATGAATACCAATGTCTCGATTTTTTTTTTTACACAATTTTAGTACTCCACTAAAATTTAGGAGTCTAGTAAAGTATCCCCAAGTGTCAACCTCAAAAGATCTGTCATTAACGTGTAATGATACACTGCCTCTGCTTTTTATGACACATTTTAAGCTCGTGGAATCATGAATTTATTTGTGTTTAGGGCATTTCGCCTTATCTCCAGGCTCCACATTTTGTTTCTAATATGGATATTATGACTTGTCTGATGCGTTTATCTTTTTAAAATATCACAAAATGTGACTATTTGCTTCTTTTTGCATATGCTGAATTTTTAATATTTAGTGGTTTGGATTCTATATTTTTGTTAAAAATAAAATGAATTTAAATACATTTTATACATTTAAATGAATTTAAATGTCCACATTTTAAGAAGTTCTAAGTTTTTGTTTTTAATTTTTCAAATCTTTCCATATACTATTTCATTGTCATGGCTTTGTGATATATTTATTCCACATTTAAGATGAAAACAAATTAGAAAAAATTTAGATCAGGTTAAAAGAGTTTTTAATAATGTCAGCATTGTATCTGCTGTTTAGATAATAAAACCACTGATTATAATAAGCTGTAAAGTCTCATCTCAAGATATCCCCTGAAAGATGCAGGAGTTCTGCAGAATAAGAGTTACTAAAATTTCAGTCTTCATTCACATTTTAGTTGCCATTTTATTCAAGGGCTTATAAACTTTTTTCTGGTAACATTTTGCATAAGGTCCAGTTTTTGTAGTTATTTTGTTGTTTGTTTGAACACATACTTTATAGCCAATTGTGATATATTCTCTTTAGCAATCAACCAGTAACAATAGCAGCAATAGGTATTATCTATTGGCAGCTGAACGATTACTATGTTTCAAATACTTAGCGTGGTGCTTTATGTACCTCATCTCATTTTATCACCAGACAGATCCATGTGTGGTCATTGTGACTTGTGCCGCAGAAGGCACAGAGGCAGAGCAGAAACATTTCCTGCTCAAGGTCACACAGCTCCTCTGGGCGGAGCGGGAGTTTCTAACCAAGCCTGACCGACTCCAAGGCGATTGTTTTACTGTTCCGTAGTATCCTGGGCTAGTTTGATTTTTATATTTTAAAACGTTATTTTTATTATTTAAGTATTATTCAGAACCTGTTATCATAAAATGTCAAATGATATGTGTCCCAAATAATCCTGATAATAATAGTAGGTATTATTACTGGGCAAGATGAAACACTGATCATTTAACATAAGCTATGGCATATAGTCATCACAGCCGTCACAAAAATTAGGTGCTGGTATAATTTTAGCTTTGAGGATAGCTACATAGGTGGAATGAGACAAATTTTGCACTCCAGTTGTTCTGGAACCTGAGTTTTTAACTTCTGCTCGTTCTTTCCCCCAAATATGGTGCCTTAAGCTCGCCCATTACTACAACCCCATCATACCATTTTTTATTCATTCACAGCTCCTCAAAGCTTGTTTACATGATCGAAATGTCATCTTTGCTATTTTTCTCATTATTACTAAAATAAATAACTTACATAATATAATAGCAAACAGACATTTATGGCATCGTAAATGTTTTAGTGTAAAACACCATGGAAATACACAGTTTATTTTTGTTTTGGAATTGGAATCATTCCTAATATTTTAGTGGATCATCTTTCTGAAGGTACAGCATAGATTTCATTTCTGAGGGGTGTTTCTTCTGCAAGATCTTTAAAATGTAAACTAATATTAAGCTGTGTGTTACAAAGTAAAGTATACTCTAAAAACCCATTAGAACCGAATAGCTGTTTGGTTGTTGGAAGGCAAGGTTATTTTTGCTGCACTGCTGTAGAGTCTGCCTTGAGGGGACACACTGATCTTTTCTTCATGCTGTTTTCTTTCCCATCTGTTATTTTACGCAGATATCCCCTGCACTCCATGCCGGATCCACTCTGATTCCAATGAACAGCGTCTCTCTGCCCCATGGCGAAGATGACTACGGGTACCAGTGCCTGGAGGGCAAAGACTGCGCCAGCTTCTTCTGCTGCTTCGAGGACTGCAGGACGGGCTCGTGGCGCCAGGGCCGCCTGCACATCCGCGTGGCCAAGATCGACTCCTACTCGCGCATCTTCTTCCCCACCGCCTTCGCCCTGTTCAACCTGGTCTACTGGGTTGGCTACCTTTACTTATAATTCCCCCTGCTAAGGAAAACCCTGAGCCCGACTAAACCCAATAGAACCTTCAGGAGCTTGAGGTTTAAATTTAAAATCCAGAGAAACCAATGACTTATTATTGCAACCATTTTAAACCTTTCATAGGTAAGTGAAGTACAAGTTTGCATATTAAGTTACTTAAATGTATGTAAAACAGGTTACTTGAAAATTCAGCCTATTAAAAATACTGTTCTATATTTTTACTTGAATTTTATTTATTTTACTGAAATCGCATTAGGATTTTGAACTAAGTTCCTTGATTCTTATTTTAAAGACGGAATAATTTTAATACATATTTTATTTAAATATAATCTATATATGTGGGAGCCTAAGCTAATATGTAATAATTTTTTGCCTGGAAAATATCGTTAATTGGATTTTTTCTTGCTTTTTACTTGTATGCCCTGTTTGGAATAGAGCATTTTAAAAACATAAAGCCATGATTTCCTGGGATTTATTTTCCAGATATTTTATTCCAAGGAAGAAATTAATTTATTTATAAATTTTTTATTAATTAAAGAAGAACATGCCAATTTTTACATAATTAAAAGGCCAATTTTTATCTCTTTTAGTCAAATCTATTTCCTGACACACTATTAAATAAAACCATGGTTACATTTAGTTTTTTATTTTTATTAAATTTATTGGGATGATATTGGTTAATAAGATTATATAGGTTTTTTGATGATTTACAAACTAGGATGGAAACCACCAAAGTCATCTTTTTAAAATACAAGGTTAAAAAAAAAAAGGAAAGTTACATTTAACTATTTTATTCTCTGTTTTGTAGCATTTATGTAGTATAAGGCGTTAACACTGAAATATTTAGCTCTACCAATACTGGAATTAAATGGAGAGCGAATTGATTTTTTCTGTATGTTCTTCAAAGGTGTTACATTCCCTAAATTAACAAAAACACTGAGGAACTGTGCTTTGTGGTTAAAGAATCATTACCTAGCAAATTGAGCAACTGTTCATATTGAGGGTAGGTCTTAAATATGAACTATTAACATTTCTCAGACTAGAAATGCTCTGGAAGCATAGTTTTAAGCATTTGTCACAGACTGCCTTTTCCATCTCCTAAGTTTGGACCCTGCCAGTTTTCTGACTTCTTTACAAATCGTTATAATGTTCTCTGCTAGGAGATGATAACAGGCCCCAGTCACATCAAAGGTGCACTGAGAGGCCCTCTGACGAACGTGAGTGTGGGCTCGAAACTGTTAGAGACAGGAGCAGAGAAGTTTTCACTCTAATTTAAAGCCTGTTGGTTAATAGTTTTCAAAACATGTCTTTTGTTAAGAGGGAGTTAATTTAAGCTTTAATCCTTATATTCTTGTAACTAGTTTGGCATATCAATTGTTTATAAGAAACACATATTCATTATCGCCTAATTTTCTAGAATATTTCCAGAGCTATCTTGGAGGTAAAATTTAAGAATTGTTTTTCCATCGCCAAGAGCAACTATCAGGATGAAGTTTTTTTGATAAAGGCCTATCTTATGTTAAGTGGATGAAGCTTTCACCTGTACATTTGACACTCTAGTTTTTAACACAATAATTCCTTCACATGGTTAGTGAATACCTGAGTGAGTGTCTGTCATGTTTATACTTATGTTTTTAGAATATAGCTGTTTAAAAATCTAAATGTATTTCATTGTGTGCTCCCCAGATAAGTCTGAGTTTTTTACTATGCTTATAAACCTCTAAAAAAAGTAAGCATAAATGAAACAATAATGTCCAGATATCCACCGACACTGCTTTTTTTGAATGGAGAGCCAAAGTAAACTTTGGCCATGTAATATATCCATTTACGGATTAGTCATGCATTCATTTTTATAACATCAAGTATTGGTAGATATTCTTAAGGTGACCATTAATTTAGAGTTAAAATAAAAGTACCCATGAAGAATAAAACATTTCACTACAATGTATTATAGCTATTTCCATAATACATTTTCAAAGGAAATGCAGTTTTAAGCTGTATTCTGCTCATTGTCATGGGGGCAAAGCTAATTCTGGGATTTTTTAAAGTCTATCTGAGCATGACTGTATTTTAAAATACTCAAAAATGTTTAGTATAAATAGCTTTGCTTTTCTCATTGGTGTTCCATTAACCTGACTTTAAATGTTGACAATATTTACAAGGGAAAAATAAAATTGATAAAAATAATAAGAGATGTTTTTCCATATACATTCATTGTATATACCATCAAAACAACAACTTTGTTTTCAAAACCAGTGCTATTTTGAGCGATTTTATTTAAACACATAGACCAGAAACAGAGGTATACAAATATTATTTCCAAAAATAAGAATACAGATGGAAGTGCAGTTTGACTCTGTATAAGAAATCAAGTAGAGCTTACTTTCAAAGGGGTGCAGTTGAATTACTACTCTTCTTTAAAAAACTTTTCCCAACTTGAGAAATATGCTTTCTTCAATCCTTTCTCCGGGGAGTTATATCTTAATTTATTGGATCCTGCAACTTGTGTTTCCTAGCTGCTTTCCATGTTTTTAAAACTAACCTAAGAGATGGATAAAGGATGGTAGGAATAATTGGAGCAGAGGGATAGAGATTCATTTGGAAAATGTGAATTCAGACAAACCATCCTCTAAATAAGTGACCAGGATCTAAAAGGTCTGAGAAGGGATATTACGACTGGTACAACTTTATTTTCTTGGATTTACAATTGCATGGTAATATTTTATTAATCTTCAATTGCACAGATACACTCAGACTCACTTGAAATTAATTCCTAAAATACCAAATTGTTTCTGAAAAAACAAAACAAAAAACAAATGCATAAGATTATCTGGGAATTCAGTAATGGAAGGGGAAAATTGCTCAGTAAATTTATATAAATATAAAGCTTTAATTTGAATAGGAATTACACAGTTCATTGGGTTTATTTTAAGTTAAAGACATATTTTTCTGAGGAGTTTTTGAAGCTAATGAACCTCTAGGTTAAGGCACAGAAACTTGTGTAAATAAATGGACAATCTCCAGGTTTTCTTTTTTTTAATGGTTTCCTAAATTCTGACATCAGTATATAGTCATAAAATATTCTATATTTTTGCTTAAGAGCAAGGCCAAAACTGAGGGCAGAATGCTCACCAATGATTTAGCATAAAAAAGAATGTTTGCTAGTACTTTCACATCAAGGGGACCATAATTGTAAAAAGTGAAATTGTGTTCCCAGTCAATATGTTGTAACGAGATGCATCTTATACTTTTATTATACAAGAGGAGATTTAATAATCACATAATTAATGAATAAATACATATATAAAATCATCAAAGTTCTATACCAATGACTATTTCCACTCTTGCTACATTTTCTGTAGCAAGATACCACATTTGTNCATATATAAAATCATCAAAGTTCTATACCAATGACTATTTCCATTCTTGCTACATTTCCTGTAGCAAGATACCACATTTGTAATTATTTCATCGATCATAGTGCTGGAGTTGAAGTTATTCAATGATTTATCATTTGTCCCAACCCAAACATTTTGAAAATAATTTCTCACCAAGCTATTTTTCTTTATGTCATCAAATTTATGTCACTCCTCAATGTCATATCATATGAAGTCCAGACATACTTGGGATTATGTTTTTGTTGGTCATCACTGTTTTTTACTGCTAGGAAGCCCTTGACAGGCCACTAGAAAGTCACAGAAACCCTTACTAACTCTCTATGAAAACAAAACAAAATGAAAAACCTTTCCAAATGGAGTTTCCAAACGCTATTGACCACATAGCTCTAGTAAATATAAAATAAAGAGGCTCAGTTCTGCCTCTTTTCAGTTTGCATTTTGAAAGTGGCATAACATATTATGCACTTTTTATGTATAAGGAACATAGATGCAATAAGGAATACATAAAGATGAACTCTCAAGGAACATATATATATATATATAATCAGATGATTAGTTATACAATTTAAGGGAGAGAGGATACCTCTGGGAAAGTTTCTCAGAGGATATGTGTTTAGAGGTGGGAGCTTGAGATTCAGTGTGTCAGCAGGTGAAGTTGACAGGGATCACCCTTTCCAGTTGAGTAAACAGCTTGAATAAAGAAACAGAAGCATGGGCTCGAATTAAAAGGTTAAGATTCACATGGAGGCACTCAAAGATGCTGCAAGAAAGAGAGTTTGAGCCCTACGGTAGAGAGGCAAGACTGTGACCTTCAGGAGGCCGGGTGGCACTGTCCATTTGCGGGTTCACAAAGGTGCTTGAGCGCAGGAGCGCCATCATGAACTCTGCAGAAGTTTCAACTTGTTAGTGTGTGAGATTTGGAGGAAGCAAAGCCTCACGTACTAAAATATTTGAGGTAAGAGAGGAGGAAGGTCAATACTCCAGTGATAGAAGTTCAACAGAGAAGGAGGGAGGCTAGCCCCTGAATAAGAGTGTCAGTGACACACATGAGGCCGTGACTAATAGAGAGCATTGAGAGACACGACTGTGGGGGGGAGGAGGTCCTGCACTGAATAGTACACATTCGTGTGCAAGTAGACACTAGACCACAACAAGGAAATTCTGTTTATATTGTGATTTTTCTGCCATTACTTTGGACATTTTAAATCAAAGGCTCATTTTTTTCTATTGATCTTTGTTTTTCCCATGTTAGAGATGAAGAAAATAATAATATCTTGAAGTACAAATCATAAGGCAAGTCTGTCTAGGTTATTATTTTTTAAATAATGTTACTTATTAAAAGGGCTTTCTCTTCAAATAACTTTCTTTTCTTTCTTTCTAACTGAGGGGGTGGGGGAATGTATTTGGACAAAGAGGAAAGGAAGGGAACTGTGAAAAGAAATTGGCTGCTGTAGAACCAGATAAACCCAGGAAGTTGGTTTCTGACTCTGAAACAATTTCTGAAATATTTGTCTCAAAATAAATGTTTATTGTTGGACAATGAAATTTACCTTGAACCTTTGAGTCTGTAAACAGGTAAGAAGAGCCTGTGTTAACAGCAATGCAGTTAAGCAGAAAGGGCTAATTAACAGACTTGACACATGGTTCACCTAAATGGAAATATTTTGGGTCTTCATAAATCACTGTAATAACAGTTGTTTGTGTTTATTAAGTGTATGTAGGCACTTTGTACAGTAAAATTCTGTGGCTTGTGATTGTAATGGCGACGCTGTGTGCTCCTGCTTCATCATTCTGGGAGTGTTTTGTGAGTGTGTGGT